AGTGCTCCAACAAACGCGAAAGGAAGAGCTACTTAGTCATATTCTCGTGTAGTTTGTCGAGGGCAGTCCATCTCGAACTGATAAAGAACCTCGAAACGACATCATTTATCCCGTGTCTGAAACGATTGATCGCACGACGCGGGCGTCCGAGAATCATCTACTCCGACAATGGGGCTACGTTCGTCAAGGCCTCCAAGTGGTTGAAGCAAATCAGGAACGACGAACGTGTGCAAGGCCTTCTGCAACAATACGATGTGTCGTGGAAATTCAATCTGAGCAGAGCCCCGTGGTGGGGTGGTCAGTTCGAGCGATTGATCGGAGTGGTAAAGAGTGCTATGTACAAGGTGATCGGTGGGGCGAAGCTGACGTGGTCGGAATTGAACGACGTACTGCTAGATGTAGAAATCCAAGTGAATCGACGTCCACTAAGCTACATGGAAGATGACGTAGAACTTCCAACCCTAACCCCTTCCACATTTCTATTTCAACGAGCTAATGAATTACCCGAAAGTGAACCATGGCGGATCGAAGACCAAGACCTACGAAAACGAGCGAAGTATCTAACAACGTGCAAAAATAGCTTGTGGAAGAGATGGCGACGCGAGTACATGACAGCGCTGAGAGAACGTCACAGCCTCGTCCATAAGACTCAGAAATATAAAGTTAAAGAAGGGGACGCAGTGATCGTGAAGACAGACAATAAGAATCGAGGGAAATGGCCACTAGCTATAGTGGAGAAGTTATTCCCAGGACCAGATGGTCGGACGCGAGCTGTTCAGCTCAGGACGAAAAATGGCGAGATAGAAAGACCCGTTCAGCATCTCTATCCCCTAGAACTCCAGTGCGACACAAAAGGGAACGCGAACGAAGGCAGAGTCCAACTGAACCCCGGAGCCCGAGCGTTCGGACCGAAAAGAGCTGCCGCAGCAGATGCACGAGCAAAAATAACCGCCATAGCAGAAGATCAAGAAGAAGATATGTGAACACTATATAATATTTACACATTAACACTAGATTCATTTTCAAGTTTTGTTTTCCACGAACACGATAGTTTAGAAGCGCAGTCTCCTTAGGGAACATACAATTTAGCTCCTAACTTGCATGGGGGAGTGTGTCGGAGACTGTCTATATATATCTTAATATTTGTGATTTAATAGCAGGATTAATGATTACTTTAATTAGGGACGAACATTGCATGATTGACACATTTATATTATTATGAAGAGGAGTTAAAAGATAGGAATGTAGTGACTGTGTGACTGTGAGAGAGACTAGACCACGTATACAACTGTGAGTGATTTTCAATAATATAATTTTATAAAACCGAATTTGCTTCGTCGAGAGTTTGATTGTTCAATACCTTTTAGTAAGGGTCAATTTACTAAACAACGACCAGATTTGAACAACAACAACATATATATTAGGCTTATTTTATAGTCTATCCCAATTTGCATGTCAAATTATAAACATAGCACGGACAAGCATTCAATTATATTGCAAACTTGGACGAACACATATTACAACAGAACACACGAATACAAATTACATTACAGAAAGAAGCTTTTGCTGTCATCATTCCTGCAATACTTTTGGAGATATGAACTTCCCTTTAGGCAAAGAATGCACAATGTTAACATTAATGATGATCGGGACTGCTGTGATCACACATTTAAGTCTGTGACAAATATAGGAATTCTCTTTTCTGCTCCTCATGATGTTGGCCAAATTTTGTCATGGCAGCAGTCCCAGATATATCCTATCTCTGTGAGATGTTAAAATAACTCATGGAGCGAATAGTTTCTATAAAGAAAACTTTGGCTGAAATTTATGTTGCAGAGTATTTTTGGTAAAGCTACATTGGTCAAATTAGACTTGTTTCATGGAATTCAAAGAATCACTAAAAACCTTGAAAAAACATTCATTAAAATTAGTTTTCAGCTTAGCATTACAAAATATTGTTAGTCAAAAGGATCATTCAACAACAAGATCATTTCTCTCAGAAAATATGGGTATTAATCATGACATGTCTGCTCCTGACATTGCTCAAAAGCTTTGCACCTTGATGGTTACAGAGTGGATGACTAATCCTGATAGATACAAGCCTTTCTTTCAACAATGCTGGAAACTGAGGAACAATTGTTCAGACAGTCAGGTTATTTTATGGGTGAGCTCGGCAATACAATGCCTCTTGCATTCGCAAATATACTGTGTTACTGTTTGCATCTATGGAAACAATGCATGTCTTATTAATAACACCATCGATTATGCGAGATGCTGTGCCAATGGTTCTTGCATTTAACCAATTTGGGGTTGGACATATGATGCCATTAACATAGTCTCAACATTGAACAAATATGCGAGAATAATATCTAATACTCTTAGGGAGGAAACCGACTCTTCTTCCATCATTCTGGAGTGTTTGTGTGGTAAAAATGCAAAACTTAATACCACAAAAAAAGCCGTTTATACAAAGTCAAACACATATTCATTGAGATGTCCTTGTCATAAAAATTCACATGGTTGTCAGGATGGTTGTTTGTGCAAGGAATGTGAAAAGCCTTATGGAGAGCAAGAATTGTTACCTGATAAACAATTTGTGTTATCCCCTGGCCCATCACAAAAAAGATCTAAGCATTCTTTATTGACAAAAATAGGTAGTGGGAAAGACTTTATAAAGAAAATGGATACTAAGATTGAAAGAGTGGAACCCAACCGAAATACTGATCTTTGAGGTTCTATTACAATTGTTGAATCATCTTCAAATACTAGCCAATGCTGACACCATTACAAGTTATTTCAACTGATTCACAAAGAGAATAACCCAGTTAGGTTTTGAATTTGAAGTTGTTACAAAACATTTGAGCAACATTCAGTCACATATATATTCTCACGATAAGGTGCTTAAAGCTTGGTTAAGTAGATACTACCGTAAACAGCAATAAAAGTACCGTAAACAGCAATAAAAGTAGCATAAACCCAAGAAAGATCAATTACCAAGTGGTTTAAAATGTACTGGTTTGCATAAAAAATTTACCAGTATTATTCTGCAAAGTCAAATTTATTCCTGCAACATGACCACTGTGTGATGCGATCTATGCATTTATCTTTTTCCCCCTATTTTTTATGCTTCTTAGATAAAAAATGTCTTTGCAGATTCATATTGTTAATGGTTAACATTATATTACAACCATTTTTGTTTAGCATTGTATTGTACCACATACTTAAAGTAGATATAGATTCTGAATTGCATGGTACCATGCAATGCTAAGGGTGTAAATGTGCAATATTAAAATTATGCAGATTACATAATTTTAATGGTAAATTAAACTTTGTATATATAAGCTAGGCACTTCAGCATGCTTAATGCTAACAAGTTCTTACCACCCTAAATCGTATTGTATTTGATATTGGTTGCTATTTTTACAATCGCCTAGGTTTGCCGGTGGTGTGAGAAACACTTTGGATTTGAGGTATCCCCACAAGAAAAAATCCAAAGTGTTTCTCACACCACCGGCAAACCTAGGCGATTTGGAAGAAAGAATTCGAAACGCAACGGAAGGTTTAAGGCAGGACAGGCAAATGGTTCGCCGTGCGGTGTTCAGTATGCTCAGGCGAGCGGAAGTTTGTTTGGAAAGAAACGGTGGACATGTTGAGGACTAGCATAATGAATCAAAACAACTGCTTATTAAATGGCGTTGTTTATGTGTTCAATTGTTTGCTTAAATTTATTCATGTGCCCATCCTTGCATGAGATCAGTCATGCTAAAATCAATTCACTTTTCACTTTCACTTTAACACTTTATTTATTGAGGATAAACAGATAAAGTTACAACTTTTTTCCAATCTGGTCCTCCTAAACTCTATATACACAACAACAATAACATTAAACATGACTATATTCAGTACTTCCTATAGGAGTATGAACAAATGAAATCATGGGTACAATGTAAAGTATTAACCAGTACTACAATTCAGTTGTTCATACCTCGAGAAAGCCCCAATTTACTAATTAGGCAATTTTCTAACTATGTCTAAATTATATTTACAGTACAGTATAACAAGTCGAAATACGCGTTGACACACAACTCACAAGTGTCTAAAGTGACATTATAAACATGACAGTATTTGACACTTTCTCCATGTACGAACAACCGAAAGTAGATCATGCTCAGCTAAAACTGCAGGCATGAATTTCGGCAGTTCGTACATCAAGAAAGCAACCAACTTATAGTCTTAATAAAAGAGAAAACATGCAAACAAACAAACACTAAATGTTCTTAACAGCGAATACACTGTCACTGATACTTATTGGACTATATACTTATATTAAACAATTAATTACTGATGATATTTTTAGATATCTTAATAAAGCCTTATGCTGTTAAGTTTAGTTGAACTCACGAGTTTCTGACTAAAGTAACTCTTGCAATATGTGTTGAATGACGGCTGCGATGTTATTTTCTTTGCCTCGTTAGGGAAATTGTTCCATAAGGTAGATGCTATAAATGAAAATCGTCGTTTTCCTGCGTTAGATCTTGCTTTTGGGATGTGGACATTATTATTCGCAATAGCTCTTGTTGAATGGTGGTGGGTTGGTTTTTCCATGAGGGTGCTGAGGCATGGTGGACTGATGTCATGTATGCATTTGAACGTCTGTAGTAGGATCCGGTGGCGAATGGTGTCATGAATTGGGATAAGGTTGATTTCTTTGAATAAGGTTATTGATGGGATAGTGTAATCAGCGTTTAGTAGAATCCTCGCGGCACGTTTTTGGGCAGATGTTACACGTCCAAGAGCGTCTGTACTACAATTACCCCAAACGCTACAACAATACTCGAGTGTTGGCTTTGCTATGCTGTTATAAAGGAGAAGGAGGAGCTTGGGTGTAAGGTAAGGTTTGGCTCGTTTCACAAGTTCAAGTTTGTTGTTGTATTTCTTGATAACGTGAGAAATATGGGTGTTCCATGTGAGTGAGTCATCCATGTGCACACCAAGTAGTTTTTCGCAGGTTGTTTGGGAGATGGTGGTTCCGCAGATAGAAACATTGAGCGGTTCGTTGATGGTTGAAAGTTTTTGTCGTGATCCAATAAGCATGACCTTAGTCTTGTTGGGATGGATGGCCATTCTATTCTCGGAGGCCCAGTTACTTAGGTTGTCAGCACCAGTTTGTAGATGTGATCTAACGGTGTTGATGGATGTCCCTGACTTGACCAAGGTGGTGTCATCTACATAGATGTAGGAATTGCATTCTTTGTTAACAAGTGGTATGTCGTTGATGAATAAAATGAAGAGAAGTGGTCCAAGTGATGAACCTTGTGGAACACCGGTATGTACTGGTAGGAGATCTGAAGTTGCACGTCCGATGGACACTAATTGCTTTCGTTCCGTGAGATAAGACTTGAACCACTGGAGTGTTGAATCTTTAAGACCATAAATGGCAAGTTTCTGTAGTAGGAGGTCATGGCTTATAAGGTCGAACGCTTTCCGGAAGTCTATAAGGAGAATACCGCTGAGATTTCCTTTGTCCATATCATTAAGTAGCGAGTCTGTAAGTTGGAGTAACATTGTTTCACAAGAGTGGAAAGGTCGTGATCCAAATTGGGAACTGGTGAGCAAGTTGTGTTCTTGAAGGTAACCAAGTAGATGTAGACCATAAAAGCGCTCCAAGATCTTAGATAGCACAGACAAAACAGCGATAGGTCTATAATTATCCTTATTTTGTCGCGAGCCTTTTTTGAACACAGGTGTGATCTTGCTGATTTTCCACTGGTCTGGAAAAATACCCGAGGTTATGCTGGTGTTATAGATGTAGAGAAGGGATGGGAGGACTTCATTGCAGCCGACTTGAAGAAGGTGGATGTTTATCGAGTCAACTCCTTTTGCTTTGTTACACGACAAGTTGTTGATTGCATTCAGAAGGTACTCTGCAGACATGGCTGGAACCGTGAAGTGGTGGTTATCAGGAAGGTGAGTTTTCACAAATTGTCGAAGTGGTTCTAAATTTGGTTCGTGATGTGTTGTATCATGGATGACAGAGTCTGCAATTTGTGAGAAATGCGAGTTAAACAACTGTGCAATTATGGCTGTGTTTGTGACAGAAGCCCCATTATCGATTATCTCGTTTGGTGTTGTTTTGTTGGAGTTCAAGTTTCCCGCTTCTTTCATCAGTTTCCATAGTTTCTTCGAGTCATGTTTGTTCTGTAAAATTTCGTGTGCAAAGTAATTCTTTTTCGCTTGTTTAATGTTAAATGATATTCTGTTCCTACATGATCTGAACGTTTCCCATGATATTGTTCCGTTTCGGGCTTTTGCTTTTAGCTGATCTCGTTTCTTTATGTCAGACAGAATTTCAGGCGTCATCCACTTAGGCAGCTGTAAGGATTTGACTCTTTTCGTTCGGAGAGGGGCATGTCGTTCAACAACACTCTGGAAGATCTCGTACCAGAGTGCAAGGGCGTCAGATGGATCGTCAAATGCTTCAATTGAGGACCATGGGGCCAGACGTAGATCTTCACGAAAATCTGTTTTGTTCAAGTTGGATAAGGATCGATATTGAATAGTGCTCTTTTCATTTTGTTTTGATCTCCTGGAAGCGTTACAACGGCGTACGAGGAAGACAGGATAGTGATCACTCAGAGAAAGTGGTGGTACATGTATTGACGCAACATTTCTTTCAGATGAACAGTAGATGTGGTCAATGAGCGTTGAAGTGACACTGAATGATCCGTTCACATATCGAGCTTCCGTTCGCGTTGGCACTGTGACTAGTTGTTTGAGCCCGAGTTGATGTATACGTTTCAAGAAGACGCTAGATTTCGATTTTTGACATAGAACATTCATATTAAAGTCCCCAAGAACATAGCATTCCTTATTTTCTGACGCTACTCTCTCCAAAATTTCTGTCAAGCAGTAGTCATGAGAACTGTCTGCCGATGGTGGTCTGTAAACGTTGAGTAATAAGATTGGTGATACATAATGGGGTTTGATCTCAATACACGTAGATTCAATGTTCTCGGAGCCTAAGTCACTTCTATGGGTAAACGGCACGTCGTTATGGATGTAAGTGATGATTCCTCCACCGGAAGTGTTCGAAGATCACTTATGCCTTGAATCAACTGCGCGAAATGGAAAATGTGGCAATTTTAGGGGTTTCGCGTTCCTTTTAATAAGCACCATTTTTTGTGAAACTTTGACAGTTTATTAAACACCATACATAGTTGTAACCAATTCCAATAATAAATATTAAAGCCCAGCAAAGTGCTTTTAAAAGAGCCATAAACCATTAAATTTAAAATTTTATTAAAGATTTAGTAACGTTTCGTCTTAACTCAAGACATCTTCAGACTATATTAAATTACAAGCTGTAAGAGTAATTAAGCATAAAGTAAAGTTATCATAGCAATATTAAATTACAAGCGAATACGAGGTACACAAAACGTAAGGATAAGAAAGGATAATGAAGGGAAGTGAGGGACAAAAATGAGAACAGACAAATTAGACGACAACACAAACAGACAAAACATAAAAAAATGGAGATCAGAATATGTGAAGAGGGATGTGAGAAAATGCTGGACTGGGGAGGATTTTTACATTGTTTGCCAGTGATAGGAGTGATACCCAGGTTTTCCGAAACTCGGGTGTGTAGATGGCGCGTGGTTTGACCCACATACGATGCGGAACAGCATCGACACGTAAAAGAGTACACTACACCCGACCTCAGAGCTTTGGGTATTTTGTCCTTAAAAGAGAAAAAGGTTGAGAGCCGTTTGGTTGATCGAAAGACAAATCTTATATCAAGATGTGGGAAAGCAGCACGACAAAGACGGTTGATTTGCGTGCGAATTTGCAAGGAGTGAGTGCCCGTAAAAGGGAGACAGAAATAAATTATTTTCTTAGGAACAGTATGAACAGGTTGCTTAGGTTGAAATACTTTGTTAAGAAACGTTCTAACACATCGGTCGAACATATGAGAAGGGAAACCATTTAAGATAAACATTCTACGTGCTGCTTCAAGTTGGTGATGGAAAGTCTCATAGCTAGAACAAATGCTAAAGATGCGGTGTATTAAGCAAGATATTATGCTGCGTTTGTATGTAAGTGGAATGAAGCTATGGAAGTTGGTAAAAAGACCAGTAAACGTAGGTTTACGGTAAACAGAAGTAGAAAATTTTCCATTGGAGCGGGATATGTCAATGTCAAGAAATGGGAGCTTACCATCACGTTCAACCTCACTAGTGAAGCGAATGTTGGTGTGCTGGCGATTAAGATATGTGAGAAAGAGCTGTACATGCTCTGAGCAACGGAAAAGTAGGAAACAATCGTCAACATATCGTCTATAGAGAAGTGGTTTGAAAGACGAAGGACAGTTGTGAAGCCAATCCTTTTCGTGAAAGGACATAAATATGTTAGCAAACAAAGGTCCTAAAGGACTACCCATAGCTACGCCGTCAACTTGATGATATAAACGACCATTGAACACGAAATGACAATTTTTGACAGAAAGACTTAAGAGTTTAGTAAAATCAGAACGAGTGAGGCCATGAAATCTACAACAGTTAGAAAACAAACGATTAGTAATTATCTCAATCGTTTCATCAACAGGGATGTTAGTAAAGAGTGAAGTAACATCAAAACTAGCCATTATAACATTACTCGTAACAAGATCAGAAGAAAGAAGTTCCTGGACGAAAGAGAAGGAATCCTTAATGACACAAGTGCTGGTCGAGATGGGAGTGAGAAGAGGAATAAAGAATTTAGCAATATTATACGAATAATGATTAATGCAAGAAAGGATAGGCCTAAGTGGGATATTACATTTGTGTTTTAGGTAGTCCATACAGGATGCCTAAGCGTGAACCTGTAGGATACAGTTCATTGTAAGTTTTTTGATCAATTGATTCAGACGCTTTCAGATTTTTCAGCAGAGTCTTGACATGATTTTCGCGCTGTAGTGTTGCTTTGACAGGATCTTCATTCAAGAGTTCAAATTTCGTGTTATCAGACAAAATTTCCTCCATTTTTTTTGTTGTAGTCATCTTTGTTTAGAATAACAATGCCGTTACCTTTATCAGGTCTCATTATCATGATGTTACTGTCATTATCACGATGTTACTCTGGTAACAATACTTGTAACCAGTTGAATAATATCCCAATTTTAGCTTGAAAATTTTTTGCGCAAGCCATTTCAAACTTGGACGATAAGAAGCACCCCCCTGGTAGCACAAATTTACTTTCGAAAATAATGTTTTGTCCTGCACATACCAAGACTCCTAATTTGCCTTGGTTACAAAAAATATCCCAAATTTTGCGGAATATCTGAGTTTGAGGAAATTTGCCCATTTGCAGGGGTGGAAAAGTATCGGACCATGGGACCATTGGTCCCAGAAAATTTTCGAGTTCCCAGAAAATATTTCCCCAAGAAAGAAAAAAAAGATATTTGTAAAAATTTAATAGACAAAAGGGGAAATTCAGAAGAAAAATTCTAATCAATAGAAAGAGTGCTACCTGTACTGTAGGTATGACCTCAGAAATGCAATTATGAGTGCATCATCTTAATAGTGCAATAGTGTGTGAATGTATAAACTGTAGAATAATGTAACATATATTGTATGGCAAATGCATTTTTAGCCAATCTGGAACAACTAATTTTCAAAATTTCCTGGGAAGCATGGATCCCCCTTAGTAGTGCCCCCTAGTACTGTCTTTTTAGCACCTTTATTCACCGTAGGATCAGACCCTTCATAAGTGGCATAGTCAGCGGTCCTGCTCAGCAGGACCAAAACTTTCCACAAAATAGACAAATGATTGTCCAAGTTTCAAACTGTCCAATCTTTCAAAGTGTCCAATCTTGAACTTTTAAAAAGTCATTGTAATTTTTCTGGTTTTATTCAATATTTTTAGGGACCAGTCATTATTAATGCCGGGTAGGGGGCCGGAGGAAATTTTTATAAATAGCTAAAATTTTTCATGACCCCTTACTTTTCTACCAAAATTGTTTTATGCCCCCCCCCCTTATTGAGACAACATATTTCATAGCCCCCCCATTCTGAATTCAATGACTCAGAGTTTTGCAACCATTTTTCCTGCCTTCATATTTGTTTACTTGCAGCTGTAAAGAATATTGTATAAAAAGTGTTAGAAATAAAAGATAATTATTTAACCTGTTTAAAGCACAAGGCGTTTTTATAACATTTAACTCGTGTTGACCCATCATTACATGCCACATTTGCAAGCAAACAGTCCAGAATGGCGCGAAACCCTCGTAGATGTTCCCAGAGTTGAGAGCCTGACGAGACTTTAGCAATCTTGTCTTCAAGAACACTTAAATTTTCTTTGAGCTTACACGATTGTAATGAACTAAGAACAGCTTTATTTCTCACAATATTAATACCTCTAATAAAACTTCTAACTTCGTTTCCAGACGCCATCTTGAAACGCAAAGCATATACTTAATGTAGCCTCTCATTATAGTGTATTTAAACCGCATTGAGTATGAAATCTGCTGTGTTGGTGTAATGTACTCAGGTGAATAAGATGTTCGTGTGATATTACTCTGAGTGTATATCCACACCAGGCAGGCTCGAACCGTCCTGACCGCGTAGCTCAGTTGGAAGAGCATTGGGCTAGTATTCCAAAGGTCGTAGGTTCGAATCCCGCCGTGGCCAGGCATATTTTTCAAGCCTGCCCGGTGTGGATATACACTCAGAGTAACATCACACAAACATCGCATTGAGTATGTTGCACAGGCTCACTGCAGAGGGCTCACTGGATCACATGTTTCACACAAAAACATACATATTCAATTAAATAGTTGCATTGCAAATATTTGCCTGTTATTTGGTATGGAAATTGAGCAAGATATGAATATTGATTCAACGGAAAGTGCAAATGATGTTTATCTATTTTTGAAAGAAAATAATTTTCTACAATTATACTGGTCAAGCTTTGATAGGGAGGACTACGATGACATGAAACAGTTGCTAGAGATGACACCAGATGAATTAGAACAGGCACTAGCACAAGATATCGGAATCAAGAAAATAGGGCACCTCAAGCGATTGAAGGCTCTTTTAGCTATCCATTCTACAAGAGGCAATTCGAACGAAAAAGAATACGAGGATAAAGATGCAAAGAAAAGCTCAAACAAAACACAGAAATGTAGGTACCCTAGTGTTTGATTTTATTATGGTACAACATGTGAAGATATGACCCAGTCCACAATAGCCGTTTTCTCTTTTAATTTTTGCAGATCTGGTGATTTAATAACAAATCAATATTTTGTATATCTGTTTGTTGTGTAGTGTCAGCCTCAATTGCATCAAGGTTATTGATACCAAATCCTATCACAGAGAAACACAAGTTTTACAATGAACTACTCTATGAACTGTTCAATGATTCTTATGAGTTGATGACACATGATGCTTTCATATTGTATGTTACTGGTCAGAGACAGTCACGATGGAAAATCAAACAAAGGTTGGATAGTATGAGGTTATACAAGATAAAATTGGCTGAATCTAAAGATGGACATTGGCAAAATATTAGGAAATATGTTGGTGACCAAGTAATGCTGACTTCAAAAGACAGGAAACCAGCAGAAAGATGTGTAGAATTTATGGCAGGAATTATACAAGAGGTGGACTCATTCATTGTTGAGTGCAAAACACTGCGATCAAACTTATTTGATAAGGAAAACACTGTGAAGCCATGGAAAGCCGATGAGTTGCTCTTTTTGGAGAACATAATCAAAGATTTATCAGCAATCGACACAAAGATGGTGAAGGCAAAGGGTGACATTTTTCAGAATGTTTGCTATTTAAGAAGAAGGGTGTTGGAAAGTGAAGCCATCCAACACGATAACAGTCGCTCTAAAAGAAGAATGAAAGAAAATAAGCGCAAATCATCAAATAGAAAAGAACAACGAGAAGCTGTTGTAAGGTTCTTCAAGAAATAATTGGATTGACAGACGATGCTCAGGAAATGATAGTCAAGGTGGACAAAGGTGATTTTACTTTTACCATCGACAATTCGGACATTGTACCTGAAAAGCTGTTGGCCCTAAAACCAAAACCCCACAAATCAGGCCTATTTGTTTTAATTGAAAAAAATGTATTTGTGTCTGGAAGCAAAGAGATTGCAGAAGAGGCTATTAACAACATGGACATGCCAAAGAGGTCCAGTGTTTTAAAAAAGCGCAAAACTGGACAGCAAATGTCCATCGAGTCTGCATTTGCGAATGCAGTGTGTGACCCTTCAGACAATGCATCAAATTCTAGTGACGATGAAGATGAGGATGACCATTTCCCATGTACAGTAGAAGTAGAACACAACTTTTAGAAGTAGAACACAATATATCTGGAATTAATTTTCATTGTATGTATGTATGTATGTATGTACGTACGTATATCCATAATTTACTCTTTTGATATTACATGTTGCAAACTATTCCATAGACTTTATTTTTGCCCCCCCCCCCCTTCATGTTCAAATTATTTTCTGACCTCCCCCCCCCTTCACTGCTCAAAAATTTTTGGTGGCCCCTCAAAATTTCCTCCGGCCCCCTACCCGGCATTAATAATGACTGGTCCCTAACATATGAATCGTCTCATTTCATTGGAACGGCCTGAGACTACAATCACAGCTTCAATTTTTGAATTGCAGAATAATTAGATGCACTATCTAGTGTATATAAGATATCTATGCTCAAATGTCAAGAAAAACACACATTGAAAAACATGCTAAAATCAGTGTCAATATTTTATGCAACAAACGTTGTTTTGAGAGTTGATGTGTATTAATAAAAAACATACGTCAGCAGAAAGATAACATATTCCTCGCTGAAGCATTGCCAACAGCCGACCGTAGAAAATAGTAGAAAACTATCTTGTATGTACTATAAGAACAAAATATCAATAACTATGTGTGACATTTCTAGGTGGTGGTGGGGGTCATGTGAGGCTTCCCTAACCACACAAATTTTGTTGTTTCCTTTGGATATGTCTGTGAAATCGCAGGAAATAGCCATTCCAGACATCTAAAATTCAAAATTCAGTTTGACAACATCATACAGTTACAGTCGGAGTGTCAAGATACTTGATTATTTGCAGAAAATTTTCAATGTTCTCTTGCGGTCCCAGAAAGCAAAATATTTTTTCCACCCCTGCCCATTTGGGACGTTTTTTTATACACCCTGTAGTTTAAAGTAATGAATATCTGGAGAGTGAGTAGTCACATAGTAAAGTATGATACTAACCCTCCAGCCATTCAAAAACAACACCGGCACTCAAGAGCAGCTCCTATTGAACCTCCACTCATCGAGTGTGAGTGAGCTTTTAGAATACGGGTGTTAGAGAGCGAATCTTATAAGCACATTAATCCTATATGTTAGCCTTTATGAATAGTTTTTATGAAAACCTTCACAAAACAGCAATTTGCCAGTAACAATAAATAACACCAATTGAAACCTTTAACTATGCATTTTGGAGCTGCAAAAAACCCAACTGATTCAATTTTATTGCTAGTATTTCTAAAGAAACATGTTTATCTTCAACAATTCACTATTTTCATTGCTAGCTGTGTCGTTTCCAGTTCATAATAATGCTGATAACTGCAATAATAATAGACATATAAAGATATTATTTGACTGTGATTGGTTGATTTCAGTGCAGTAAGAGGCCGTCTCTGTAAGAGCAGTCCACTGGATATTTGTTTGGAAAAATATTTGACTTCAAACTTTGTGGTTAAAAAGTATTTCATACGATGTTAATACAGTGCTCACACATTTTGCTATATCTTTTGATATGGCCTTTTCCCCCCACTGAAACCGAACACCTTAATTGGCATTTCTGGTTGCTGAAAATTTGGCAATATTTAGGTAAATCGAAAAGTCGGATGCTACAAAACTCTGATTTACACTATTTTGTTATATGTTGTAAAATGCATATCGATCTTGAATATGTGTGGAGTTCATTTTGTTTTGTCATCAACATTTTAATGTAAAAAAATAACAAACTCGCTTTCAACTAAGCCAAACATATTTTTTTAATGGCAATATCTCAAAAGTTAGAAGCAGTGAAGAAACTAACATACCACTAAAGTTTAGCTTGTATGCCATGTTAAAAGCCTCTTTACAAAAATGATGTGGTATTTTCCAGTATTTTGTGTGACAGCCCTTGAAACGTTGCAAAATTATGTAATTTACATGGAATTTTGACATTTCCTTGTTATGTCGATCATAAAAACATTTTATACCTGAGCACATGTTATAGAAATCTATAACATCCCAGCAAATGTTTGTCTGACCATTGCAATGTTGTTAGGACAAAATCTGTAATTGAACTCAGTTGGTGAACTGTCATAAATAGGTGAAATTAGCATTGTTTCTCATTGTTTTGTCTTAAGGTGGAGCCAATTGTGGCTATTTTAAACTTGTCTTGAAATGTTAAATACTTTAATTGAAAATGTCAATAAGAAATACAATCTACATGTTTGCTTATAAATGCTTATTGAATAGATAGATAGATAGAAAAACTTTATTTATCCACGCTAACCCTGTCAACCAAGGCTGATTTCCACAAGGGGCGTGTAAAAAGGAATTACAAGAATATAGTATTTAAAGCTATTTACAATCTATAATATTAAACTAAGTCTAAGTTATATAAACTATAAGTAAGTCATATATATATATATTTACAAGTTTTTTAGGTTTTCAGTTTCTTAGGATCTTGTTTTAGTTAAAGAATGTGAGTAACAATTTTATTTTGAAAACATAACAGGGGATTTGCTTTCCCTAATTTCATTTGGAATAGAATTCCATAAGTGAGCACTGTTATACATGAAACTATTTTTCATGTTATTTGTTCGAGGTTGTGGTAAACAAATACCACTGGAAATGTCCCGAAGTTTGTAATTTGTCATCCCACTTTTATAGGTGAAAGGTTTGTGAGTGACTCAGGGCCCATTTTATTCAAAATTTTGTACATTAGTTTTGCTTTTGCCTTTTCTCTTATTGACTGAAGTGGCTCCCAGCCCAAAACCTGTAAAGCAATAGTGTGATCAGTATTGTTGCTCATACTATGATAATTCGAGCAGCTGTATTTTGACGTTTCTGAAGTTGTTTTGACTGTGTTTCACCAAACACATCCCACACTTCACAACAATAATCGAAATGTGGATGAACAATAGCATTATATATCGAGATAAGTGTATCTCTGTTAACAAAAGGTTTAACACGACGGGGGGCAGAGATTCCGGATGTTATTTTCTTGCAAATATTTTCAGTATTACTTTTCCAAGATAAACGCTGGTCAACTATTATTCCAAGAGTTTTGCATTCATAAACTTGTTTAATTTGTTTGTTTTCAATAATAATATTTGGGTGAACCAATCAACATGAATTCAGTTTTAGCTACATTCAAGCTAAGTTTATTAGCCATCAACCAGTTTCTAAGATTTTCTAGATCAGAATTTACTGCAATCTCAACATCAGTCATCGAGTCTCCAGTAGCTGTGAGATTTGTATCATCGGCAAATAGGTGAGGTCTTGTATTATCGGGGCACTCGGGTAAGTCATTGATGTATAATAAAAACAATAATGGTCTTAAAATAGAACCTTGTGGTACACCACATCTAATTAAGCGTTCCGATTAAACAAATCCATTTATTTTGCACTTCTGGCTACGATTTGTGAGATAGAATTTTAGGAAAGAAAGAGCTTGTCCTTTTATTCCATAAAACTCCAACTTTTCTGGTAGGGTTAAAGAGTATGATCATGTTTTGTGATTGGCTTCATGAGACAATTGTGATCAGTGTTTGACTCATTCTTTAGAAAACTAATTTCTATAGTTCATTGTTTTTTATTGTTATGATCAACCAGTCACAAAGCCTGTTCATATAGGTTGGTGGCAACCCTAAGCATGTTGTATCTGTATATGTGATACAGATTCATGTTGATTTACATAAACTTTAACTTTGATTTTCTCGGCTTAGACAACGTTTATTTTTAAAATTACTTTGCCAATGAACCCATAAGACGAGTCGTTTTTAAAGCCATTTACAACATGAGGGGCCGTGTTGTATCGGATATTCGAGTTTGTAGATCCGATACAACACGGCCCCTCATGTTGTAAATAGTACCTACACAACTTATTTGTTTTTCCTGGGACTGAATTTAGTTTAATTTCACTTATTTGTTTATCAGTATCTTCCTCAAAACGGCTAGATGCCATTTTGCAAATTCCAGCTTAATATGTCAAATTTGACAAATCAACTTGTTAGGATTTGTTATATTCACTTGTGCAAAAATATTAAAAATACTTATTTATCTTGGAATGCATTATTGTTTTGTAATATTTCTTCAGATAAAGGAATGTCTGAAACAATAAACAGTATTATTTTGATTTTCTAGGCAGATTAAATTTAGGAGTTATGTGAATGTGTCAAGCTTCGTATATGTATGAAAACAAGCACACAACCCATTCTATATACTGTCACTGTTTCACAACCGATATTGTGTGAACATACTCGTCAAGCCTGTATTCAAGCATTTATAAGTGAACATATAGATTGTATTTAGGAACCTTGGAATAGCTCCGTTCTGCAAGGTGCTGAGGGCCATTATCAACCCAACAATGGTATAGTCGTCCGCAAGATGTGCTTTGAGGCCATTATCAAAATATGTAGTCTTGATTTCTTTTAAGCAAATGCAGAAAAATTCCCTGCGGGGTCCACCATTATCCTGAGCGGTCTCATTATAAAAAGACACTTCAAGTGTTACTCTTGGATTCTCAATGGATTTTATTTCTTCAAGTGCGGTTTTTAAAACATATCTATTAATTAAGATGTAGGAAGTTTCACCTTCTAAGCTGACAGTGACATCTTGTACATCCAATGGCCTGCCAGTAACAATACAACTTTGGACATAACGTAAGATTTCTACAAGATTTGTAATGTCATTACTTTTACAATAATCGACACAATCACATGCAACTAATTCCAATGGACCTCGGAAGCTTGCTCTAGATTCTCCTTTGTTTTCTTCTAAAACCCACAGGTTCTTTGGTTTTGGTACTTCCTCAACTGTTTTCTCAGGTGCAGGCAATTCCACTACTTTATCCATAGAAAAAGCTGGCCTGGACAATGTTTCTGAAAGATAACAAATTACATGCATTAATGATTTCGTCTTCTTACAGTAAGCCAGTATGGCTACGTACATGTTGCAGTTAGTGTTGTGTGCCGTGTGCATCAATTTCATAGAATTAGAGTTGATTACAAATAATAGGAACGTTGAATTTGTTGAAAGTATACATATAATCTGAAGTCATAAATGTTGTGTCAAACCAACAATAAATCGTCATGCTTTAATATGCTGCATCATGTCATCTTACCTTGGGGACAAAATTAAGCCAAATAATATCTGCCATTATCCGGTTATTGACTTTATCCCATTTGTTGTGAACCAATGAAGCCGGAGATTAGCACTATTTGCAGTGCATGTACTGTACACTGCACTTTTCATAGGTTAATGTTAACCCTCCTAGAGCTCACCCATTGACAAGTAAAATTGCCTACAATGGTATATATAATCAGGTGCATGGTTTGCAGGCTAAATTAAGTTAATTGACAATAGCCAAACCTTCTTCAACATGCTAAGTTGGTAAGAGCTGTATCCAAGTAACTAGCCAGTTGGTAAGAGCTATAACCAAGTAACTAGCCAGTTGGTAAGAGCTGTAGCCAAGTAGCAAAGGTGAGGGTTTTTTTCCTGGCTGAGTGTCGCCTTAACAATAAGACCAGATGCTTTTGAGGAATAGCTCTTAATAATTGAATTAATTCCCTCTGAAATATGACTAAACTGCCTAAGAAAAAGCACTTAATCTTTCAACATAGTGATGTTAAATTACCTCACTCACTCAATTGTGACAATTTGTACCACTTGACCACTTAAATAGCAGTTTAAGTTAAAATATTTTATAATATTAATTAAGTATAGTGGTAATCTGTATTAAGTTTAGTGGTATCATAAAACTGATAATCTCACATGTGAGATTATTTGTGACAATTTCACATGTGAAAATTATGTCACTTTGCTGTAAAAATTATCGCTTTTCAAAGACTGCACTTTATATAATAAACAGAAAAATTCATGGATGCTTCAAAATACCAGATTTATTTCTCGTGTTGAACATGATATTTCACTCCTTCGCTGTGCTCACTCTTGAGATATCATGTTCAATACTCGAAATAATGTTGTATTTCCGTACACCCATGTATTGGCTGATCGCATTATTAATCCGCACCCCCCCCTGTTGAGGACATCCATTTTTTGGTCCCCTCTTCCCCTGGAATTTCTACATATGTTAAGCGAATTTTTAGCCTCCCCTGTGGAATTTCTGCAGATTTTTATTGAATTTTAGCCATGCCCATGGAATTTATGCAAATTTTTTATAAACTTTTAACCCATCCCATGGAAATTCCTTGACAGTTTTTGATCTAGCCAGTGGAAATTCCATATTGATTCTTTGATTAATAGCTATCCCTTGGAAAATTCCTTGCTGAATTTTATCCTATCCTTTGGAATTTCTTTTCCATTATTGACCCTCCACAGGGGGCCATTGGAAATTCCACATGTCCTCAATAGGGGTGGGGTGGGGGGTGCGGATTAATAATGCGATCAGCCATTGTTCTCTATATAATCACAAATTATATAACGTTTATGTCTTGATCAATTCCAAGTATGACCACCAATCAACCAACCCCTCCCCCTCCCATTATGCAACTATATTTATTACTTTGAGTGGTTCAACACTTCAACAAAATGAACAAATTTCGGGTGGGAGTTAGGGGGGGGGGGGTCAGTCACGGTTGGAACTGATTAGGACATAAATTACAATACCTTAAATCGCACCATCATCGTTGCTGGCAGTTCTGTCTTCTTCTTCCTCACAAAAACAATTTAACCCATCTTTCATTTTGATGTAATTGGCACCCTGGTCAGCAAGCAGTTTCACTTGCTCGAAGGAATACTCTTGAGAAGTAACTGGTATACTCAATTTACGACGATTCGCACGAAGAAACATTGTGTGGTGATAAAGTTTTTGTAAATGTTCAAACATTTGAACAAAGCATTTGGCATTCCAAGGTTGAATGAAATCACATTAATTATTTTGCTTTATAAAGTGAGATTATGATAGTGAAAGTCACATTGTATCAGTTTACCAGTAAACAGACCAACCAAAAGCAATTTTCCCTTTCATGTTGAAGTTTTCTTCATGTGTACTTTGGGTTTTCACCCATACCAAAAACATAGTAATTGGGTTTAGTTGTAGAACATATGTATTTTGGGCCCATGGCTAGCTTGGCTTAACCCATTGACTCTCATTGCACCCTGATCATAGACGGATTTTGTGGGGGTGCTACCCCCCCCCAATATTAGCTATAACCCCCCCAAACAAAATGTCCACCCCTCCAAAAAAATTTTCAACCCCCCCAATATTCGGCATAATAAAAAATAATTAAATAGTCCACTCCAACGTGCAGAGTGTTGATGATA